TCTATTTCACATGTTTGGTGCTATATTGTGGATTTTTTTATGTAATACATTTTTGTCTACTATTTATATTTTTTCCTCTTGACCCCATTTTTTCCTTTACCCCTATACAGTATTTATATAGTGATTGTGGCGCCCTGTGTTTTTCTATTTTTTTAGAAGATTTTACTTACCTGGTTCCAGCACCGGGAGCCTCGTGAAGCCGCGACCCCTATTTCGTCAAAATGACGAAATAGGCAGGCGCGAGCAGGGAGCAATCAGACGCTTCCATTTGCGCATGCATTCATGCCGCCCTATGAAGTCATGAGCGCACTACCGCGCATGTGCGCGGCCACGAGCTGAGCTGACTGACAGCTCAGCTCGCGGTCTTTGCCCACCCCCTCTCCTCTGCTGACAGGTGGAAGAGAGAAGGCGCGCACACAGTAACTTCTCTCTCCTGCACACGTCAGACGTATTTTAACCCCTTAAGGACCAAACTTCTGGAATAAAAGGGAATCATGACATGTCACACATGTCATGTGTCCTTAAGGGGTTAATACGTCTTATGTGTACAAGGCCTTTTTAGGGCCCTACATGATAGGAAGTCCCTCTGGTGGCCATCTGAGTGACAGCCACTGGAGGTATTCCTATCAATCAATGTAAACACTGTATTTTCTCTGAAAATACAGTGTTTACATTAGATTGCCTGCAGGGAGCTATTGGTCTCACCTGAACAAATACAATAAGCTGTAGTTGTTCAGGTGACTATAGTGTCCCTTTAACCCCTTAAGGACACATGACATGTGTGACAGGTCATGATTCCCTTTTATTCCAGACGTTTGGTCCTTAAGGGGTTAAACATTGAATAAGCATGCATATTCACACTATAATGCGCCCCCTACCATCATTTTTTTGTGATTTTCTCTAGTGATGTGGGACACTAAAGAACTAAGTCAGGCATAAGCAACCTTCAGCACTCCAGATGTTTTGGACTACACCTCCCATGATGCTCTGCCAGCATTATGGGTGTAAGAGAATTTTGGGGGATGTAGGCCACAATATCTGGAGTGTCAAAGGTTGCCTATCCCTGAACTAAGTTATAATAGAGTGACACTGATTCAAACCAGCAATGCCTCCCATAATATGTGATACTTTGATTCAAGTTTTGCATTTGCTTTGCATTGAAAACACATTCAAATGTCCATGCACACATGGAGGTGGGAGATTGACTAGTTAATTTTAAAAGGAAATAGACCATTTCTTATGAATGTAGGAGGATGAAGTAATTTCTAAAACACAATAGAAAGTATTGATATAGTAATTAAAATAGAAAAATTAGGGGGGCGGGGCCTGGCAGCCAAAATGGTCGGTAGCACACTCTAAGAGCTCCTGCAATACAGAGCACAAACAAGCTACCACATATCGACCCTTTAACGCTAGCAACTCACGGTGCCCAGGGATCCACTCACGATATCATGAGTAACAGAACGGTACTGGTCCGGCACCGATGCGTGGCGGAACGACCTATACCGACCATGCGGCCTACTATGGAGTGGAGCCTGAGGTCTGGGGGAGGCGGCCGATCTCCCAGCGCGGGACCCGCTCACATGTGTGAACTCAGCACAACCCTGCTACCCCCCCCCCCGGGGGACGATCACCGCCACACCAACGTCTGACCAAGCGACTAAACCCAAAGCAACGCAGGCATATCCAGGCCCACACAAGATGGCGGCACTGACACAGCCTACCACTAAGCACACTCTAATCAAGCCTCCCAAGCACTCACGGGAGTTCTATGACCAGATCTGCACCAGCCTTTGGATAAAGCTCCAGGCTCAGAGACGGCCCTACAAGATGGCGATCAAAGAGGTGGCGGCATGGATCCACCCAGCAATCCGGCGCCACTTAAGCGGGAATCCCCCTCGTGTCCCCAGAGCGACCCACCAGCGGAGCCGGAGACCAGCACAGAGGGAAACAACGCCAGGTATCCTGGGCACCAGCACTGGTGCTCCCACGCCTCTGAGGGGATCCTGCAAATATCACCTTCGGTCACCCTAAGCAGGTCTCCTTCATTGACCCAAGACTGTAAATATATGGGATCATTGTGGTCTGCCTCCCTAGCGACCCTCATTAAAGAACCTAATGACATCATTTACGTTATGCAACCACCCCACCTGCATTAGCATAGATTCAGAATACCATATCTGTATTCCACCTAGTACCTCACTGTAATCGTTAAGCACTACAGGAAACACCTTTGGGGCAAACGGCACTAAGCTTAATGGATGCAAATGTTTATACTTACCTTACATATGTTTGAATTATCAGAAACTTTAGCATAAAATCATATCTCTTCTCTTGACATAACGTTTCAGTTTTCGCCTGTCTTCAATATAAAAATGTGCTGTTTAATTGTATACCATACCAAATTCATTGCTACTACCCAGCTTGCTATTGCTGTTGTGGCATCGCAAGAAAATGTTCACTGTCTTTTCATGCACAAGAAAAATAAAGAATTAAAAATAAAAATAAATACTATGCATAATGTAACTAAACCCCCATTATTTTTGCCTAGATTAGGTGTTTTTAAAAGAACAAATAAAATCTTTCAACATTGAAGTTGCTGTTTAGTGGATAGGTGAGTGCGCTGGATCTTGTGTATTGTATTATTTGGCCCCCAGCAGCACCCCCATTTATGCATGTTCAGGTGAGTGCAGCCAACCCCCTCTTGTTTTATATATATATATATATATATATATATATATGGGAGTCTAGCCAACTCCTTGGTTTTGCACCCCTCCCTGTCACAGGTGCTTCATCCCAGGGCCCTATTTAGCCTTGTACTGCAGAGAGCCCCAGATGGATTTTTTCCCCCCAAGTAAGTGGGTTAATCTCATAAGTTCAGACATTAGGCTGTTAGTGTAGGACCTGCCAAAGATGGGGTACATTGACGTTGTGGCAGGCTTATGCAATGTATGATCATATAATGTAACTACAGGGAGTGCAGAATTATTAGGCAAATGAGTATTTTGACCACATCATCCTCTTTATGCATGTTGTCTTACTCCAAGCTGTATAGACTCGAAAGCCTACTACCAATTAAGCATATTAGGTGATGTGCATATCTGTAATGAGAAGGGGTGTGGTCTAATGACATCAACACCCTATATCAGGTGTGTATAATTATTAGGCAACTTCCTTTCCTTTGGCAAAATGGGTCAAAAGAAGGACTTGACAGGCTCAGAAAAGTCAAAAATAGTGAGATATCTTGCAGAGGGATGCAGCACTCTTAAAATTGCAAAGCTTCTGAAGCGTGATCATCGAACAATCAAGCGTTTCATTCAAAATAGTCAACAGGGTCGCAAGAAGCGTGTGGAAAAACCAAGGCGCAAAATAACTGCCCATGAACTGAGAAAAGTCAAGTGCAGCTGCCACGATGCCACTTGCCACCAGTTTGGCCATATTTCAGAGCTGCAACATCACTGGAGTGCCCAAAAGCACAAGGTGTGCAATACTCAGAGACATGGCCAAGGTAAGAAAGGCTGAAAAGACGACCACCACTGAACAAGACACACAAGCTGAAAGCGTCAAGACTGGGCCAAGAAATATCTCAAGACTGATTTTTCTAAGGTTTTATGGACTGATGAAATGAGAGTGAGTCTTGATGGGCCAGATGGATGGGCCCGTGGCTGGATTGGTAAAGGGCAGACTCAGCGCCAGCAAGGTGGAGGTGGAGTACTGGTTTGGGCTGGTATCATCAAAGATGAGCTTGTGGGGCCTTTTCGGGTTGAGGATGGAGTCAAGCTCAACTCCCAGTCCTACTGCCAGTTCCTGGAAGACACCTTCTTCAAGCAGTGGTACAGGAAGAAGTCTGCATCCTTCAAGAAAAACATGATTTTCATGCAGGACAATGCTCCATCACACGCGTCCAAGTACTCCACAGCGTGGCTGGCAAGAAAGGGTATAAAAGAAGAAAATCTAATGACATGGCCTCCTTGTTCACCTGATCTGAACCCCATTGAGAACCTGTGGTCCATCATCAAATGTGAGATTTACAAGGAGGGAAAACAGTACACCTCTCTGAACAGTGTCTGGGAGGCTGTGGTTGCTGCTGCACGCAATGTTGATGGTGAACAGATCAAAACACTGACAGAATCCATGGATGGCAGGCTTTTGAGTGTCCTTGCAAAGAAAGGTGGCTATATTGGTCACTGATTTGTTTTGTTTTGTTTTTGAATGTCAGAAATGTATATTTGTGAATGTTGAGATGTTATATTGGTTTCACTGGTAATAATAAATAATTGAAATGGGTATATATTTGTTTTTGTTAAGTTGCCTAATAATTATGCACAGTAATAGTCACCTGCACACACAGATATCCCCCTAACATAGCTAAAACTAAAAACAAACTAAAAACTACTTCCAAAAATATTCAGCTTTGATATTAATGAGTATTTTGGGTTAATTGAGAACATGGTTGTTGTTCAATAATAAAATTAATCCTCAAAAATATAACTTGCCTAATAATTCTGCACTACCTGTAAACCCCCATTATTTTTGCCTAGATTAGGTGTTTTTAAAAAATCAAAATCTTTCAACATTGAAGTTGCTGTTTAGTGGATAGGTGAGTGCGCTGGATCTTGTGTATTTATATATATATATATATATATATATATATATATTTAATACAATGTTAAAAATAAGACTTGCTTTTCCCACAGAAATCACAAATCTGCAGTGATGTTACTACCACAAAGGATTCTGGGTGGGCATATGCAAATTAGTTTAACAAAGAATCACATTTTTGCCTCATTCCATTTTAAACACGGATTTCTTTGAGTCTGTGTTTTCTGTATACAACAACGTTGAAACACAATTTAGGAAAAGATGCAAAGCCAGTGAACCACTCATAGACAGCTGTTGCATTGTTAATGCAAATCATCAGCATGAGGTTGGTTACTAGTTTGCTTATTGAGGCTTGGTAGTGCTTAGAAAGCAAAAAACAAAAAAGGTTATGGTGGGGAAAAATTGTGATTGAAAACCCCTTCCATCTGAAGTCTGTGGATAATTCTTTCCACAGACTTCAGGTGGAAGGGGTTTTCAATCACAATTTTCTCCCCACCATAACCTTTTTGGTTTTTGCTTCCCTTATTTATATACAGTACACATATATATATAGTCAATACATTGTTGAACAAAGTTCTGCACACCAGTCAAGCCATACAACTTGCTTTTCCCACAGAAATCACAAATTTGCAGTGATGTTACAATTGCAAAGGATTCTGTTTAAAAAAGAATGGTTTCATTTATTTATATATATATATTTATTTATATATATATATATATATATATATATATATATATATATATATATATATATATATATTTATATTTATATATGTAAAAATCAGATAAAATTGGTATCTTGTAATATCTTTTTTTATTTGACTTACAGAAGCTTTTGGGAGAACCTCCCTTTCTCAAGTCTGAAGCATTTCTGAGGAAGACGACATATAGAATTCAAAGTTGAGTTGTGATCAGGGCCGGCCTTAGGGGTGTGCGAGCTGTGCGGCCGCACAGGGCGCCTTCGAGCACTGGGCGCCCTGACAGCCGACACAGCTCACACATGGCCGGCTGCCTGGGAGGAGGATTTCATTATTCTGCACCCGGGATTAAAAAAAAACCAACAAAAGCATTGCGGCGGGGTTTAGAGTGCGTGGGGGCGGAGCTAAATGATGGCGGGGCTAGAAGTGCTGGACCGGGCAATTGCTGCATGGGAAGCAGGAAGGAGTCCCTGCTTCCCCAACAAGCAGAATCCAGAAGCTGCACTACTTCCATCTCCATAATGAAGGTAACAGTGTGTGCTTGTCTGCCTGTGTGTGTGACTGTTTGCCTGTGTGTGTGACTGTCTGCCTGCTTGTGACTGCCTGTGTGTGTGTGTGACTGTCTGCCTGTGTGTGACTGCCTGTGTGTGTGTGTGTGACTGGCATGCTGCCTGTGTGTGTGACTGCCTGTGTGTGTGTGTGTGTGTGTGACTGTCTGCCTGTGTGTGTGTGTGTGTGTGACTGCCTGTGTGTGTGACTGTCTGCGTATGTGTGACTGTCGGCCTGTGAATATGTGTGTGTGTGTGACTGTCTGCCTGTGTGTGACTGTTTGTGAATGTCTGCCTGTGTGTGACTGTTTGCGACTGTCTGCCAGTGTGTGACTGTTTACCTATGTGTGTGTGTGACTGTCTACCTGTTTGTGTGTGTGTGTGTGACTGTCTGCCTGTGCCTGTGTGTGTGTGTGTGTGTGTCTGTGTGTGTGGCTCTCTGCCTGTGTGTGTGTGTGTGGCTATCGCTTGTGTGTGTGGCAGTCTGCCTGTGTGTGTGTGTGTGTGTGTGTGAGACTGTGTGCCTGTGTGTATGTATGTGTGTGTGTGTGACTGTCTGCCTGTGTGTATGTGTGTGTGTTTGACTGTCTGCCTGTGTGTGACTGTTTGCCTGTGTGTGTGTGTGTGTGTGTGTGACTGTCTGCCTGTGTGTGTGTGTGTGACTGTCTGCCTGCCCGGCCGGCCCTGGTTGTGATACAGGGGTTAAAGCGACATAAGTGCAGATAAGACATGTTTTATGGGCCATAGATACCATTCTTAAGGGGGGTTGTAAATATCTTATGTGAAGATCACAGAGTTAGGGGGGGGAGAAAGAGAAAAAAAAACAAGTTAACAGTGCAGAAGATGGTGTTAGAAGAGGGGAGTATTAATATAAAGAATGCATGAATTCCTATCCAGGAGTTACAGGATATGCATGAAGGCCCATACCCAGCACACACACACACACAAACACACTAATGTACATATACCTATACACAAGTAGTGCATATGTACAAGTATACACAAGTACATACACACTATACTAAAGTACTTGCAATATACATATAAATACAACCAAATGCCCAAATATATGTACATGCACACCTACACATACATCCACACACAATCACCGATACACAATCACAATCACCTACACATATACCAATGTACCTACACATACCCATGTATATGTACACATACACCCATTCACATATACATACATGTGTGGCCTGGCCAAAAAAATAAGTCACCACCTAGATTTAACTAAGCAAATAGGCAATTAGGTAAGAGCCTCCCATTGGATAGTTACAGCATGTGCGATTTATCTTTTGCTGGCAACAAGTTATTTAATCCCAACTGATGCAATAAGTAGCTTCTCATTTCTTGAACAACCATGTCAAAAGGAAAATATGTTAGTCTGTTTGAGAAGGGTCAAATCATTGGCATGCATCAAGCAGCGAAAACATCTAAGGAGATTGCATAAACAAACACAAATTGGGTTAAGAACTGTCCAACATATTATTAAAAACTGGAAGGATAGTGGGGAACCATCGTCTTCGAGTAACAAATGTGGTCGGAAAAAAATCCTGATTGATCGGGATTGGCAATCACATTTGGTGAAATCAAGTCGTAGAAAAACAACAGTAGAACTCAGGGCTATGTTTAATAGTGAAAGTAAGAGCATTTCTACACACACAATGCAAAGGGAACTCAAGGGATTGGGATTGAACAGCTGTGTAGCCTTAAGAAAACCACTAATAAGTGAACCTAGTCGAAAAATTTGCTAGGGAGCATAAAGACTGGACTCTGTAGCAATGGAAGAAGGTCATGTGGGCTGATGAGTCCATATTTACCCTGTTCCAGAGTGTTGGGCGCATCAGGGTAAGAAGAGAGGCAGATGTACAAGCCTGTGGGTGCAGTGCTTTGATCTGGGGTTGCTGCAGTTGGTCATGTGTAGGTTCAGCAACATAATGTGCCCAAAGAATGAGGTCAGCTGAGTATCTGAATATACTGAATGACCAGGTTATTCCATCAATAGATTTTTTTCTTCCCTGATGACATGGGCATATTCCAAGATGACAATGCCAGGATTCATTGGGCTCAAATTGTGGAAGAGTGGTTCAGGAGGCATGAGACATCATTTTCACACATGGATTGGCCACCACAAAGTCCAGACCTTAACCCAATTGAGAATCTTTGGGATATGCTTTGGCAGTGGTCTGACTCTCCCATAATCAATACAAGATCTTGGTGAAAAATTAATACAACATTGGACGGAAATAAATCTTGTGACATTGCAGAAGTTTATAGAAACAATGCCACAGCAAATGCGTGCTGTAATCAAAGCTAAAGGCGGACCAACAAAATATTAGAGTGCGGGACCTTTTTTTTTTTATGGCGACTTGTTTTTGGCCAGGCAGTGTATACACTTTTTTCTCCTCACCTCTCCGGTAGCATTTTGTGTATTCCTAATTTTTGGGTCCTCTACCAGAGGCCTGGTAGTCTGAGGTTTCTGCGTAGCATCATAGGTAACCCTAAAACTGCAGTGTTCTCAGATGTCCTTGAATCTACTGAGGTTACTTTTCCAACTGAAAGGACCACTATAATGCCAGGAAAACATACTCGTTTTCCTGGCACTATAGGGTCTCTAGGTCCCCCCACCCTCTGGGCCCCCCTTCCACTGGGCTCTAGGGGGTAGAATGGGTTAAATTTTACCTGTTTCCCCCCCACTGGGCTCCCTCGGTGTGGGGAACTCTCCTCCTCCTTTTCCCCGTCATCGGCTGAATGCGCATTCCTATAGACGCTGGCGTCTTCTCACTGTGAAAATCACAGAGAGAAGCGCGGAAGCGCCTCTAGCGGCTGTCAATGAGACAGCCACTAGAGGCTGGATTAATCGTAAACATAGCAGTTTCTCTGAAGTGGTCTGGGTGCCTATAGTGGTCCTTTAAGGGTTACAGCACCTATTATAACTGGTACTATTAATGCCTTCAATTTCCAAATTGTCAGGACAATACAGTGGCCCAGCATGCAGAACTAAGTCAAACTAGGTAAATAACACTCTAAGGTAAAACGTATTACCGGGCCTTAGAATGGCCGCACTCGCTGGGGAAGGATGGTCTGATGGATCTGGCAGTGATCCGCCGGGACTTATACACTGATTAACTCTGAGTGACCTCACCGATCAGGTGCGGTCACGTGCGCCCGCAAGTTGGTAGAGGTGACAGATTGTGACCTTTCAAGCTCCCCTTTTAGTCTTTGTTTTTGACCACCTTCTCATCTTTCTTCTTTTTGATATCAAGGTCACTGGGTCTTACCCCATCTACCACCACTGCAGTTTTACGCTACTTGTCTACCTCCAAGATGTTGGGGTGGTAGATCAGTACTTGTTTGCCTGTCTAGATATGGAAGTTCCACAGGTTCTAACCTGTAATAAAACCAGATCCAGACCATATTTTGTGCAGATGTTTTCGTACACAATCCCAGCAATTTTTGAGGTTGTACCTTTCTTTGTATTGCCTCTCCATGCTATTGTATAGGGGCTGTAATTTGGGAATAGAGGCTGTATTAGTGGGGTTTGGAGTAATAGGGGCTGTATCAAGGAGTTGGAGGCTCTTTTGGGGGATTAGGGGCTGTAGTGGGGAGGGGGGAAATAAAGCAACTAAAAGTGATTCCACCCTCCCTGTGGCAGGGAGGGGGGATCATTATTTGTCAGGTGAACCCTGGTGGTCCGATGGGAGGAACACTTCCTAGCTTCTAGTGTATCTGCTCTCGTGAGTTCCAATGTTCAGTTACCATGGCAACGCTCTAAACACTAGAGCTCAAGGGAGCTATTCTAATTAGGGACTGGGTGCCACCAGGTAATATTCATATTGAAAGATAACCATTGAGTATGCACAGCAGACATTATTCGAAATGGAGTACTGGCCTGAGCAGGGAGCCTCACACCGCAGTATGAAAGGGCAGGTCAGATGGGCCCTTCCCTCCCCCTGGCCCAGCCCTCTGTCAAAGTTTCACTTAGGTCTGGAGGTGGAAGCACCTTTATGGCTGTTAGAAAGACAACTACTAGAGATGTATTTAACCATTCAGGTGTATTCAACCATGCAGTTTCTATGAAACTGTAATGTTTTACATTGCAGGGTTAAAATGACAAGACCACTACACCCAGTCCACTTCATTGAGATGAAGTGATCTGGGTGATTTTAGTGGCCTTTATTAAAGACCAGGAGATGGTTATTGTTGCACGATAGCAATGGACACTATTT